CTTTCACTTTCTTCCTTTGTAATTTTACTTTGGAGTACCACTACGGAGATCCACCCTCCTGTACAGAGGCTACAAAGGTCTTGCATTATGCCTTTCTGGAATCCTTTTAAAGCTCTTCCCCTTCTCTGGATCTAGTTTAGGTAACAATGGCAGCTTCAACAAATTGAAAATCAGAGGAGGTTTAAGAGCAACTCTTAGCCTTCCTTTTTCCCTGCACTTATTTTTTTTGTGAACTTAGAAGAAGCCTGAGATGGACCAGGCTAGCCTGATCTCGTTATATCTTGGAAGCGAAACAGGTTTGGCCCCGGTTAGAATTTGGATAGTCGATGCAAAGGCAGGCGATTTCAGACCATCTTTGACTGTCTCTTGTCGTAAGTTGGCTGAAACTTGACTGCACTTTCCAGTACCAGAAGAATAAATATGAATGTTGTTCAGTTGCACAGTTGAGTCTGACTCTTCGTGACCCCATGAAGCACATCACTCCAGGCCCTCCTGTTTTCTGCCATCCTTCGGAGTTTGCTTGATTTCATGTTAGTTGCATCGATAACACTGTCAAAGCATCTCATCTTTTGCCATCCCCCTTTTCTTCTTTTACCTTCAATCTTTCCCACCATCAGGGTCTTCTTCAGTGCACATAAAAACGCCTTATACTGAATCAGATGATTGGTCCATCAAGGTCAGTATCGCCTACTCAGAATGGAAACACATTTCTGGGGTCTGAGGCACAGTCTTTCACATCACCTACAGCCTGATCCATCTAACTGGAGATGCTGGGGATACTCAGTCAATGTACATCTTTATTCACTTCTGCATTCACAGCTCATCCAGTCACCATGAAGAGGCCTTTATCGGGACAGGATGAGCCTATGAGTTATCATTAGTTGTTCCTTTGTATTCAGATGAGGTTTCAATAAAATAATGTAGCATTTGGGGAAAAAGATGCAGCCCAATAATCCCAAACTAGAGGCCAAGATAGAGAAGATCTGCACAGCCACCATATATTTTCCCTTAGTGCTCAAGTAGGTGGGCACAAAGGACACCCAAACAGTGCAGAACACCAACATGCTGAAGGTGATCAGCTTGGCTTCATTGAATGCCCCAGGCAGCTTCCTGGCTACGAAAGCCATGATGAAGCAGATGGTGGCCAGAAAACCCATGTAGCCAAGGGCAGCATAAAACATGGTGACAGACCCTTCGTTACATTGCAGTATGATCTCTCCTGGCTGGGAGTGCATGTCAGAGTCTGGGAAGGGGGGAGAGATGCCCAGCCAGAGAGTGCAGATGCCCACTTGAATACTGGAACAGGAAAAGACAATGAAGTTGGCCAAGCTCTTCCCCAGGAATTTCTTCATCCTACTGCCTGACTGTGAGGCCATGAAGGCCACCACCACCGTGATAGTTTTGGCCAACACCGATGAGATGGAAACAGAGAAAATGGTGCTGAAGGCAATTTGTCGGAGAAGGCAGGTCACCTTCTGAGGCGGACCAATGAATAGAAAAGAGGAGAGAAATGAAAGTAGGAGTGAGATGAGAAGAATGTAAGAGAGGTCCCGATTGTTGGCTTTGACCACTGGAGTTTCTAAGTATTTAATGAAAATTCCCAGAACAAAACTTGTGATTAAGATGAAGAACAGAGTAAGGAGATTTAGGATGATCCCCAAAGGTTTTTTATAGGACAGGAAGGTGATATGTTTAGGAACACATTGGTCTCGGATCTTGTTTGGGTGCTGATCTTCTGGACATGGATCACAATGATTTGCATCTGAAAAGTACACATTTATTTCAGTATCTCTGCATCTACTTTACAACCATTACTTGAGAATATGTATCTGGAAGTGCATACTTACATGCCTGGAAAGCAGGACCAGATAGGGAGGAGGGAGGAGCCAAATAAACATGCATAAGAGGGATGGAGTCGGGGAACTTTCAGGGTCAGATTGCACACCATTTCAGAAGTTCTTAGCTTTTATCCTTAGCATGAGAAGCCAAAACAATCTGAGTCCTCTGGTCTAGCCCTCAGACTCTGGACAATGAGTACCAAATCAAAGGGTGAAAAGTGCTGGCAAAGTGATAAAAAAAATCCCACTTGGATTAGGCACTTTGCACATGATCCTCATTGCAGTTGAGTGACTGAGAGATTCCCCTCATGGTAGGCCAAATGGCCCCATACTTTCCTAATATATAAGCACCACAACAGCGCAGAGCTTTTTCTCTTGCGAGATTCAATGCAATACCATCAGCAATCTTGCATGGGAGATATAATAACTTAGTATATATGGCTAGACTTTGCCATTGTAACTCTGGATGTATTGAGACAGTTTCACATATCTGTTTGCATTGTCAGTTTTATGTAGATATACGTTTTAGATTTTTAAACCCTATCTTAGCGAACATGACGTCCCTTGCTGGTGCCTTAAAAGTTCTCCATCTTCTGAATGACTTTGCTCCTGAAATATCATTGAAGGTAGCCATGTTTGTACAATCAGCTATAAAGCTACGATAGGAAAAAAAACACCCAAAATGAGTAATACTTTGTAACAAATTGTTTTATGCAACATTATGCAATATTATGTAGTCTGTAAAATGGTTGGTTCTATATGTATATTTCTCTTTTATAGTAATCCTCTTTTAAGGTAATGTTTTATGCCAATAAAGGCTAACTGATTCACTGATTGATTGATTGACTGGTACATGGAGCTATAGGGGACATGCTGAGGCTGGGAGGGAAGGGAAGTATCATTTTTGCCCCTGACCCCTCCATCCAGCTGGGGCTCTCGTGCATGACTTACCTTCCAAAGTGGAGACTGTCCCTTCCGTACACGGAACACAATCATAGCAGCAGATAGGCTCTCCCTCCTTAATCACCTTGGTGTATCCGGGCGGACAGCTCTCCGTGCACTTAGAATGAGGCGGGTTCTAAGCAAAAGGTAAAGGAGTGTCAAGGAATATGCTTTGTTTTATGTGTGAGCTCTATAGAAACGAGTTAGCCAGTTGGAAAAGGCTCAATGGGACCTCCGGTGCAATATGTACCGCCAAGTATTTTTGATTCACAGTGGCATGACAGAGACACTGCTTTGGCAGTCGTGCCATTGCAGGGCAAGGGGTAAAGGAAGGGTCCGAGGTAGGCCTGATCAGAGCGGTCCTGAAGGGTAAAGGTGCCAGAGACATTTGAAGCAGTGGCTCATGCTCAGAGAAGGAGCCAGTGTGGGGGAAGTTGGGATGGTGTTAGGACCTCGTTGGGAGAATCTGACCCCTTGTAAGGGAAGAAATCCTTGGACAGTGCCAGGAGACTGTCCTTGTCTTGCACAATTTGCTTGCGTGCTCTTCAGAAGGACTGGGGCACTGGCCAAGGAAGGCATGCAGCCAACCTGCTCCAAGCAGCGAAGAATGGTGATCAACAGAAGGAAAAAGAGCCAGGTGCTATAGAACCCTTCCTTTGTGAACTACAGTCATGGGGCAACACAGGGCACCTTCCAGGCAATTGCCCAAGTCTTACAAGGATGCCCAGGTGAAGGTTGATTACATTCTCCTGATAATCAGCACAAAGAAGACCTGCTGTTGACCACCCTCCTAATGTGTCTTCTATCATTCTTTCCCCTGGCAGTCTTATTCCTGGCAGTATTAGATGGTGACACGATTTGATAGACATAATCTCATTCATATATCTTACGTAGAAACTGACATTCGATTACAGCTATTAACATGAATTATTTGAAAAAGTTTTTCCCCACCTCATTAAAACACCTGGGCCACACAATGGCATCCTGATCAATGGTGAACTTTACGTCTGGAGATGATTGTCTCTCTACACTCCCAACATTAACTCTAACAATCGACCGATTGGATGTCACCACCCAGTTCACAATATCATAGTTGATGGCCGCGTCTCCATTCTCATTGAAATAAACTCCTTCCATGGAATTATTTAAAAATCTGAAGTTTCTGAAAAACGAGTGAAGCTAGAATGACACAGAAAGCACCAGCAGTTAGAAACACAGGACTCTACACTGGATATTTCAGCCTTGCTTATTCAGAGCTTTACTCTCCTATGATCCACAGCCATTGCACTTGGCCTCCAGGATCACAGTGGCTTTTTCACCCTGACAGTGGACCAGTCCCTTTCTTTTTGTTGGTCTTTAATGCACTACTGGACTCAAATTTAAGTCCCTTGCTGACTCTCTTTTTTTCTATGAACCGGATCTTCTGTTTTTTCTACTTCAGCATTTTGTGGAAGACTAGAGCTGGAATCTTTAGAAATATAAGATTGGGTTTTTGCATCATATTTATAAGCCTACTGGGTATGATACTGGTACCTTCATAGCACTATTTGTCTAGGCCTAAGTAAATGTGCTTGAGATGGAAGTCATGTGACTCTAGAGGCAGCAGAGAACATATATCCTTCCGCAGCCTCCATTATACCATTTATGGATGATCTTGCTGTTCTTATGCCTAATGTGCATGGAGACACCTTCAGTGCCTTCTGTTGAGGGTATCACCATTCTTAAAAAACCCTCAGGTCCTCATGAACCAAATGGATACAATATGGAGACTTGTCCCTGTACCTTTTCCCATAATGTATTTCTTAACTCCTACCTCTGTATGTTCCCTCCACACCTAAAATTTCCATATACTTCACCTAATGGTGGGTCTCAGGGCCTTCCTCAGGCTGAGCTGCATCAGGAACATCATTGCCTTGGGAATGTGCAAAATTTTGTTCTCCCTCTATATGTAAAATCTTCTCAGAGTACAAATACGTAATTGATCAATTGGCAGTAACTCTCAGAGACAGAAAAAGAAGGAATACCTGCCATGGCTGCACCTTCTGAAGTCCCAACCTGCCTCCACTCAGCATCTGATGAGATCTGGATAAGGAGGCCGCATGCAAGGCATGTGCCACCACCTGGACTGAGTTGTAAATACTGTAGCTATCTTGAGACAGGATACTTTCAAGCTCATCCGGGGTTGGGGTCTCCAGTTCCGCTTTCTCTCTGCATCTTGTCCAGGCTTTCACAGACAACCCATGATTTGAAATGGTACAATGAAATACTCCCTTTACAATTTTTCTGAGAGTAGATAAAAAGGAATTATAATTGTCATATTTGGTGTTTGTGTTTTTCTGGATCAAAAAGGAAAAAGAACCATGGATGTGCTGGATATCCAACAGCCTAAAAATGTACCGCAGGCTGAGATCATGCAAGACTGCTGTGATCCAGACTTTCCCCACAATGGATTTTTCTGCTTTTTCAACATGTTTGATCATCATTCTCAGACTAATAATGGAGTGGGAGTCCCCATAGAAAACAACTACATTACAGTTTGTCTGCTTGGAAAGTGAATGTGTGTGGAATTTTAAACTGATGTCTATATTCAATTCTGGGATACTTTCTGTGAAGGCAACACAGATCCCACTCCTGACGACCACAGAGGTCAAGGTCCTCAGGAATCTTTCCCCATGGGCATTGTCTGGAGCCAAGAGACTGATCCACGTCCATCTGAAATGGAGGAGCATTTTCACAATCCCCATGAAATATGCATCTTGCTTCGGGGTCATCCCGTAGAAAAAAGGCAACTGAGTGTCATCTTTGAGCGCAAGATTAAGAAAACCATAGCTGATCTAGTAAGGAAAGGCAGAGATTGGTGTTGGCCTTGTAGTGAGGACAAAAGCGTACATATTTATTAACCTATAATCCTATACATATAAAAGCCCGAGCATATCAGCACTTTCTGGCTCTCCCTTTGGCTGTGCTGTGTGCTCCATCAGCCATTGGCCCGTCAACCGCCACTCATGAGTACTTGCATGCCATTGGCTGGGTGCTGGGTCCGCTCCTCTCCCCCGCCCACTGCTGGCTTGTCCACTCTTCCCTGTCTGAATAAACTGCCAAAATGGCTGTCTGTCCTGAGGAAGAGGTGAGCTGTTGAGGTGAGCCACCAGCTTTCAAACCATTCTCTTCTCCTCCTGCAGTGGGGCTCACTTTCCCCTCAGTGGCTGTTTCAAGGTAACTAGGCTTGGTTCTGTCAGTCAAAAAGAAGGATCAGGAGGCCCTTTCCAGGCCTACTTTGGCTTTTGTGGAGAACTCATTGGGGCCAGTCCTGATTAGGGTTGCCAGCTCCAGGTTGGAAAATTCCTGGAGATTTTGTGGTGGAGTCTACAGAAGCAAGAGTTTGGGGAGGGGAGAGGTCTCAGCTGAATAGAATGCCATAGAGCCCACCATCCTAAGCAGTTATTTTCTCCAGGGGGAGAGAGATCTGTTGTCTGGAGTTCAGTGGGGATACCAGGTGATCTTCTGGCTCCACCTGGAGGTTGGCTTCCGTAGGCATGGCAGCACCCTCTGGGTGACTTGATGACACCTGATTGCCATGACTTAATTAGGCCTGGCTGCTTGCTCCTGTTCACCAGCAGCAGCCCTCCTAGGACAGCCAGTGTGGAGTAGCAGATCGTGCTTCAGAGCAGGATCTGCCAGACCCAGGTTCTTGCTGTGGAAACTGAGTGGGTGATTTTGGACCAGTCAGACTTTTAGCCTAACCTGCCTCACAGGTTGTTGTACAGATCAAAAGGGGTGGAGCCTGGAGAGGGTGGGGTTTGAGGAGGGGTGGGACCTCAGATAGGTACAATGCCATAGACTCCACCCTCCAAACCAGCCATTTCCAACTGGGGAACCATTGCTGCCAATCTCCAGGTGAGGGCTGAGGATCACTCAGAATTAAAACTGCTCTCCAGATAGTGGAGATCAGTTCCCCTGGAGAAAACATCTGCTTTGCAGGGTGGACTCAGTGTCATTATACCTTGATGAGGTCGCTTCCCTCCTGCTTGGGTCCCCACTGCGATGAAATACTGTACTTTTCCTAGGTAGAGGCTCCAAGTAATGGGAGGGATGATGGAAAGCTGAAGTCAGAGGGACAGATAAAGGTAGGTTGATGGTTGGGTGGGAAGGAGATAGGGTTATCACCTACAGGTTGGAAAATTCCTGGAGATTTGAGAGGTGGAGCCTGGAGAGGGTGGTGTTTTGAGGAGGGGTGGGACCTCAGACAGATACAATACCATAGACTCCACCCTGAAAAACCAGCCATTTCCTCATGTGGAACCATTGCTGCAAATCTCCATCTGAGGTCTGGCGATCACTCAGAATTACAGCTGCTCTTCAGATGGCAGAGATCAGTTCCCCTGGAGAAAATGGCAGACTCTGTGTTATTATATCCTGCTGTGGTCACCCCAGCAAATTGACACTGAGTGCCCAAGGCTGGGGCACCCACACAGAGCCTCTTTCTAGAGTTCGTTGTATTTATTTCCACAACAGGCATTATTCCTAGTTATTAATTGTTTTCAAAATGCTCACCATTGTGATCGTCAATGTAGATGTAGACTCTGTCTCAGAGGCACATTACAGTTCCTGCAAAGTGGTGAACCAGGATGTTTTACATTTCAAAAGTGAAGGGGGTGGACTTTGGGGACACCACTAGAAGGGAGTTAAACCTAATCCACCTTCCCTCTGGGTCTGGGATAAAAGGTAGGTTGAGAAGCTTTTCAACGCTGTCCAGCAATGGTGTCTCTTGATCACATGAATGCATGGTGGAATGAAGAAGTCTGGCTCTGAAATCTGTAAATGGCTTCCTCCGTTCTTAATAATGGACTTTGAAAAGAGGACTTTTCTTGCCTTTGCTTGGAATCCCTGCAGTGCCTGGGGTAAATGCCATTTCCATCCAGTGGGCTGCAATGCCCAATCCATCCTAGTGGGATTAAGCCCAAGCATGTGGAACTGGAATGGCACATATTTCTTCCCCAGTCTATCCCTAGCTCAGTTTTCTCCTTTTGCCATCTCTGTGGTGTCAAACGTAAGACTGTAAACCCTTTGGGGGCAAATACCTTTTTTCTTGTACTCTGTAACATACCAAGCACAGTGATAGCTTAGCATTGTTACTAACAACAATAATACCTGCACTTTACTGCACACCTGTGTGCTGGAACATCTCTCACTGCCCTGAACCTCCTCAAAACCTTCCCTAATCCTTTGGCACAGCCCCTCAACTTCCCCTAACCACTCATATTAGGTCTAAATACATGTAGGGGTTTATCTTCACTTTCCCCCCCTTCCCTTCCCTTCCCTTCCCTTCCCTTCCATTTGTGTTAAATTTTAGACTGAACATTCCTTGGAGCAGAGACGTGCATATTTACAAAGTTCCATATGTATTGAACTATATGGCAACAACAATAATAGGTGGGACCTTGTCACTGCTCTCTGCTAAATGCAGAGCATTCCTCCAGTGCAATGATCCTTCCCCCTAGAGATGCCAGCCTCCAGGAGGGATCTGGGGATTCCTCCAGAATTACAGCTCATTTCCAGGCTACAGAGACCAGTTCCCCCGGAGAAAATAGGGTGGACTCTCTGGCATTGTACCCCACTGAGATCCCCATCCTTCCCAGGCTTCACCATCATATCTCCAGGAGTTTCCCAACCTAGATCTGGTAACCCTACGCCCCCATCCTCTGCCAGTGGCCAGGGGGGACCTGGCAAACCTCCCTCCAAAGGAGGCCTTGTCTCTCCTTCTGCCCCAGCAATTCTCTGCACTTTGCTGAGCAGA